CTCGAAACACAGTGAAGTGAAAGAACAAAAGGAGAAAGTACAGGAAAACACTGATGACAACCGCATTAACCACCATCCACTCCCTGGTCAAATGACATCGGCAGTGATGCAGGTAGTGACCTCGGTTTCTATCAGGCCTCAACGTTACATCCATATGTGTGTAGTAATAATACCATACTAGGTCTGCCGGCTGAGACTTTATAGCTGCGCTGTTATGTTTTTCAGAGCACACAAACACTGTAAACACACAGCTGTCACCTGCCCGGCATGGTGCTATTACCCAGAAACACAGCTTCTCCACCTTATTTTTACAGTTTATACACACAGCCCTCAGCGAGGTTAATAGCCGCATTTAAAACCTGCATGTACCGACAGGAAAGTAACTGTAGCATGTCAGCAACAGTTAGCCTAACATAGCTAACTTGCTAATGTTATCATATCTTACCTGCTGTACTGTCCGCTGCTTTCTCGTCAGATGGATAGCATTCCTTTCACTGTTGACTTTGTGTGTGAGGCCACATGGACAGAAATGCTGTACACTTTTAGTTAGGGTATTATAAATGATAGTCCTCCCTCCAGCCCTGCTCACTTCCTCTGCTTGCTTTCATGGCAGTGTGCTGGCAGTCAGAGCTCCCCCTGCAGTCCATAAAGTGCCTCTGCGCCTCAGCGGTTCCAAACCCTCCCTGCAGCCTTTGGGTCACGCCTCCTCATTTGCATACACAACTCAATCCTCAATCCCCAAATCCCCAATCCTAAATGACTAAATGCCCAATCCTAAATACCAAATTCATTTTTGACTTTGACTTTTAGTTTTACTACAGTCCTACAGAAAATGAACACTGCCAGGAACAACAGGATTAAAATTGTGTACTTTAACAGGTACAGCTGTAGGTCCTGAGCAGCTGTTTATACTGTCTGCATCTGGTATTTAATGATTGGATTTGGGCCATAAGGCGTTCCTACTCCAAGTCCTCTACAGAGATGTCCAGCTGAAGAAGATACGAAAGGGCTTCCTATGAAGGTCATATTTATCTACAAACTGTTGTAATGTAATTCAAAAAACTGTTTGTATGTAGACCTACAGTATTTATAAACTGTTTTTATGTAGGCTACCTACAGTATTTTATGAGATTTGTACAGTATTATAGGATTATTAGACTGAAATGGCCCAGATCCCTTTCACTTTGCTGTGCAGAATACTGCGGCACTTTCCCCTCAGTATACTCGAGGTCTTGTGGCCCCTCCCCGGGTAAACTCACCACACTGTCCCGTAGGCTCTGGCGCCAATCGACTGCAGCACCGTGTATCTCTCGGGAACGTCCCACGTCGTTTTCTGGAGCGGAAGTGACGTGTAAAACATTCACAATAACAGTAGGTCCATGTACCATGATGTTAACAAGGTGATTATAGTCCTAAAGCTAAACTAAACACTAAACCTATGTGTGAAAAACATTTTAGATAACTGAAAATAACAACGAATGAAAAATACTAACCATTTACTCTGGCTGTTGGGGAGAACAACCCATTGGCAAGACATTATTAGCGACCTGTTACCTCAAATTAAGATCATGGTGAAGTAGTGATATGAAGCTTTAGATAGCAATTAAATATTAGAGTTATTGTTACTTAATTAAGCAATAGCTTACAACAGGCCGTTATTTATATTTATTTGCACATTGCAGTTTGTTATGCAGTCACTAAAAAACTGTCCATCGTCAGTAGATTGACTTTGGTAACTCGAATTTAGGCCTGTATGATAATTGCTCTTGTGTGCCGGCGGCCAGCAGTGCGTAAAATAACACTTTAATATTAGGCTGTACAGCATAAAGGACTGAATTGCGTCTCTTCTTGCGCAATAGTCTTTGAACAGGCTGTTGAAACTTAAACTGTTTTGCAATATTGCAGACATCTGGGGCGAGTAGTGCACTGCTATGTGTGTTTGTGCATTTTTGGAAATGTTGAATCACGTAATAGGCTAAGCACTGATTTCTCTTTCTCATTATTTATTTATTTATTCATTTATTTATCTCTTTGCAAAGGAATTTGACGTCATACCCATTATATACTCTATGCTATGAACCAATCAGATTGCTTGATTTGAGCTACCTGTTTTATAATGTAAATTTTGTTTCCTAACCCTTATTCATGCTTGCTATGTAGAAGCTCAACCAGCACCAGGTCACTCTACCTCCTGCTGAGGCGCCCAGAGGTTCTGACTTGTGTTTATATCAAAGAGTATCTGCTACAACAGGAAGCTATAAATACTGAGGTTGAAGCTTTAGGGTGTGTGCAGAACTTCACCTGCCTTCTAGCTGCTCTTTCAGGGGCACCATCACTGTTAAACACTCGCTCAGTTTCCACAATCTCACTTTAATTCAATGTGCTTTATTGGCTGTTTAGGTTTAATAATGTTGCCAAAGCGGATTGCAGCAAAATCACAAAGTTCATATCTTGAATATAATATAACAATTATTAATATAACAATTATTAATTAATTTGCAATCATGACGATTCAGTTGATCAATTATAAGTTACACAAAATAAATAAACATAAACTACAAAAAAGAATGAACAAGAATGTAACATGCAGCGACACTGAGTCACTCGCTGCCCCTCAGGTTGAGAAACAGGACACAGACGTCTCCTAGGATTATTCTGAATTTATTGTTATCTTGAAGTTCTTTGAAATCTGGTATTAATAAATCTGGTAAATCTACTGTTACCCCTTCTGTGTAAAAACAAAACACTTAAAATAAAATCTGCAGAGTTGTGTACTTTTTATTTTCATTTAAATTTGAATAAAATTTTGATTAAATGCAGCCTGATGTTCTCAATAGTTATTTTGTTATTAGTTATTCACTTTTGAACACCACATCCACCATGTCACCAGGACTGCCTTCTTTCACCTCAAACACATTGCCCGTCCCGCCCATCACTCACCTTCTCTGCTGCCGAAACCCTGATTCACGCCTTCATTTTGTCCAGAATACACTACTGCAATATCATCCTCTATGGTTCACCTGCAAAAGCCCTAAATAAACTTCAATATATCCAAAGCTCTGCACGCCTCCTCATCCACACACGCACCTGTGACCACATCACCCCTCCAGTCCTCCAGAATCTTCACTGGCTCAATGTTCCCCAACGCATTCAGTACAAAATCCTCCTCCTCACACTCAAAGCCCTCCATAACTTTCCTACCTCACAGACCTGCTCCACCGTCACAATCCCTCCTGTAACCTCTGCTCCTGCGACAAAAACCTCCTCTCCCCACCAATCAGGACCAAGCACCGTACCTGGGGTGACAGAGCTTTCAGCATCGCAGCCCTCTCCCTCTGGAACTCCTTACCCATACACATCCGAATGTAGCGACATGGACTCTTTTAAATCACTTATCTAAACCCACCTTTTTAGACATCAAATAATGTTACATTGCTCCTGCTGCTCTTTGTTATTTATTTGTTCGTCCCTGTAGTGGAAATTAGATTCCTGGTGAGGGGCTGAGCAAACAGAGAAGTACTACAACACAAATCAGCTGGACCAGAGGTTCTGTCTCTGAGGACAGTCACTAACGTCTGGCCCCGAGCAAAGGGATGCATCATCATTTACACAGTCTAGGTTTCTATGTTTTGGGGAACAGAGATCCTCTCTCAGTCTTGAAGGAGTTTGTTGTTCCTCTCCTCCAGGAGAGGGAGGGAAAGCACCAAAAACAATCTCACAGCTCTGACCTAAACCCTAGTAAATGTGGACAGACTAACATAAGAAGTATAGGAAAGGTTAAGGATAAAACACAATACATAATAACAATAATAGTAAAAGAACACACATAAAAGATTAAATGTAAGAGGACACAATTTTCTGCCGTAACAGTCCCTACGCTCTTATGTGTTTTCCACCACAGGTTTTTACTCATCCATATATTTTTCTATTTCTGTATCTTATCTGATTTTTTAAATGTATCTAACTACTGGTTTTATTATAAAGTATGTTTGAGTGTCCCGAAAAGCGCTATAGGAAAAAAAGTATTATTAGTATTATTAATATTATTATGCCTACTTTTGTGTGAAAACTGGTGATGATTACTGTGAGTAAAAAAGCGTCTCCTCTAGCTCTGTGGCTTTCAAATCTTTTGGTGTCTTTCTCAGGTTTTAATTCTGTTTAATGAACCATCAGGTAAAGGCAGTGATCTGCAGAGTTTGTACCTGTGTAAAGTCAAATAAAAGGGAACATTGAGTCCTTTTTTCTCCTGAGACTCAGAAGTACAGGTCAAAGCTAATGGTTACATAGTATACGATCTTGTTTGTTTTTCAGGTAGAACATGTTCTTCCTCATACCTGAAAGAAGGTATTTTACCTGACATGTTGTTTTCCAGGCCTCACCCACTTCAGATACTAGAGGTGTAAACATTCTGTGTGAATAAGAGCTGAACTCCATATCAAAGAAATAAAAAGCTTGATAAATAATTTGAGGTCTACATTTCACACTGTTTAAAATATTTTAAAGATGAGTTAAAAAAATCATATTTTACATATAAGCAGCTGTAGCTATTGTAATAATAGCTATTTGGATAATTTGTTTCAATCAAAAGGTTATGTTTATATAAAATACAGTTTACCCTTTGAGAGTCATTCTCATGTAAAAACACGTTTCTTTTGTCCTTTCTGAAATATTTAGAAACATCTGATCATGTGATCTGTTCTGACGTCTTGTTTTTTTCTTGAACCTTCTTTACTTTCACTTTAATCGTCTTGGTGTGAAGACAGCAAGACTTTCAGCAGGTGAGTGAACTCAACTAAAATATATCATATATTCATATTTGTACTGACAGACATAAACACACTCTGACACAAAGTCAGTTTCAGATAATTAATTGTGACTTCAGGAAAATGTGTTCAGGTGTTGAAATATACAGGTATCATACTGTCAGATTTTCTGTACTTTGATCTGGTGTCTCTGTGTTTCTCTGAGTTTTTTCAAACCTATTTAAATAATAAGAAAATCTTTATAGAGAACTTTTCAATGTCCTCGTTACAAAGTGCTTCACTAAGGCAGTAAAACTAAAACAGACACGTCATAAAACCATCAGGTTTTAAACAGAACAGATAAAAACAAGAAAACATTTTAAGGAAATAAAAGACAGTTCAAAGAATATTTAAACTTGATTAAATCAGGAAAGGCTCTCTGATAACTAAATAAAAGTTGTTGTTTTAAGAAGGAGCTTAAAGGAGATCACTGACTCAGCCGTCCTGAGGTCCTCGGTCAGTAAACACTCTGTTTACTTTAGTTTTCAGCCTCTGGAACAGACAACAGACTTTTACCCGAGGATCATGAAGAGCCTTTAAAGTAATCAGTAAAACTTTTAAATCTGTTCTAAAACATACTGGGAGCCAGTGTAAAGAGGATAAAACAGGATTAAACATTTCAGAGTTCACTGGTTAAACAGAACCAGAAAGAGGAGTTCTATAACTCTAATTAAATAAAGTCAAAGTTAAACTGAAAGGTGTTCATATTTATTACTTTTACAGGAACATTTCCTTGTTGGTCTCAAGTTAACTTCAGCTGACAGCCTGCATGGTTTATATAAGTCCTCCATTTTACAGAGAACAAGTTAGTCCAGTTAATCCACACACACACACACACACACACACACACACACTATGTGATCACACTAGTTATAAAAGTTGCTCCTGTCTTTAATGTATTTTAAACCTCATTTTTACTAACTTCACCTTTTATTTTAGAACTTGCTGCTCTCCAGTTGAGTTTCCTGTGATGATTCCAGCAGAGACATTTTGACAACATCTGGTGAGTCCAGTCAGATTTTATACAGAGCAATCAGAAAGAAAGATTGAAAGATTAAAAAAACTGTAGTGACCTTTTGTGCTTTATAATTATACTGAGTAATTAAATATATATGTGAGCGCTGTGTGAACCATGTGGACCATTGTCCTTAGGCGTGAGTGGTTGTTTGTCTATGTGTGGCCCTGCGATGGACTGGCGACCTGGGTGGACCCCGCCTATCGCCCGATGTCAGCTGGGATTGGCTCCAGCCCCCTGCGACCCTGTACGCCGGATAAGAAGTTGATGATGGATGGATGGATGGATGGATGGACTTTTAGTCTTACTTGAGTAGCTTTTTAAGAGAAAAATCAGTACTTTTACTCAGCTACATTTGGAGACATCCATCCTAAAAAAAACCTAAAAAATAATATTAATATTATTATTATTTTCTGAAAATTATCTTTTTGTCCTCCAATGTTAGATTTTGGAGAAGTAAGACAAGGGACAACCAATTAGCTCGGGTTTAATGTCCCTACACATTGGCATTTTTCAGTTTCTAATGTTTTACATTGATCCGCGACGCGCTGGCAGACCTCTCAGCTGCAGCAGAACACTGTTTGGTTGTCTGTCAGTCTGGGCCAAACTAAAACATTCAATATTGAGGGGGGAGCCAACAGGGGCCAGTGCCACTGTAACACAGACCTTGGACACCCCCATGGCCCCCCCTCTGAACGAAAAGTCTACAGCAGCCCTATTGAATTAGTGGCCCACGGGCCACATCCGGCCTCGAGGCAACCAACATGTGGCCCAGCACATAATCTAATATAGCCTATATGACAACAAAAATAAATTTCATGTGTGCTATATCATTTCCTTCTCATCTTTGTTGAGTTTCATACGCGCTTTACCGATCACCACCAATCAAGGCTCAACACCTACTGTCTGACCTGCAGCCTCTCCGCTCCTCAGTGTGTCTGCAGAGCGCCTCCACTCCGCACACACTCGTGCATGTGCACACGCATAGAAGTCCGCCAGCTGATCAGCGGACATTGACGAGAACTAGGCTCGTTAGTGTAAGTACGTGGTGCAATAAAAACTTAGCGAGTAAAAAGCAGATTCTTTACCAACACACCTGTCTGACAAGCATAAACACGCAAAATGCGATGTTTGTCTTTAGTAACTGTTTAGCTTAGTTTGCCACTTACATTAAAATATGGCACATTATAAACGCAGCTGGTGGAAACAGACCAGCCCTCCTCTCTACCAGCAGCAGCAGAGGGAGGAGGAAGGCAGGAGGGACTGAGCTGTTCATTCTTTCTAAACTTCACTCAGTATGTTGATGTCAGGAACAGGATTTATTTTAATGACATGTTAGATTTGTTTCTAGTGAGATGTTAGTGACTTTGCTGTTTCCTGTTGCTGCTCTACAAACAACATTTAGTTAATAAAAAAAATGTAAGTATTTTCTTTAATAATATATGCAATTATTAAGTAATAAATAGGACTGATAAAAGCATCGCGAAAGAACTGAACCAACAAGGATTACCAATACAAGAGTGTCAATAAAATCCTAATGATCCCAACTCATGAGAAAATGTCTGGACCATCTCTGTGCCCTGGTTTTAAAATCTGGCCCAATTGAATTTGTAATTGAACAGCCCTGGTCTACAGTGATCATAGTAATATATCTTCCTTTAGACGAATTAAACTGAATGCAGCATTGTAGACAATATTTTGTCCTTGTAATCCATGTTTCCATGGCCTTTGGATATTGCTGGAATTCCCCTCCTTAATTATTATCATAACAATTTAAAAATGCATTGCATTTAAACAGCACTTCTCATACACAAAAAGCGATAACAGTAGCCTACTGGTCCTACCAAGCTGGACATGAAGTCTGCCGAAATATGTATCCTCCTTTATAAAGCACATTTATCAAGTACTTTGTTCTGGGTATATTTCACATCAGGACTAATAACAGGGTTGAATATGGAGACGTTTGTTGTTTCCTAATAAAAGTTATAGTGGGATACAAAATACAAACTGGGATCCAGAGAACGTCTAGTACACTAGAGCTGATACTGTTCATTAAGCCGTACAAAGTGTTGCATCAAAGAATGTTCTGTAACTTGAGCTAAAGTTAACAGCAATGTTTTTTGTATAATGTAATTTAATAAAACTATCACTAAGTAAGTTTATGAAAAGATCCTGTTACTGAAACAAATAACTGTAAGTTACTGAAACATACTAAAATATTACATTATATACTAAACAAGACATTTTGAAAGCTTGAACATTGCCTTTAAGTCTCTTTTGTCACGGATTGAATGGGCCCCTCTGAAAAAAACAACTGGCCCCAGCCTGGCCCCTTCAATAAAACTTGGACTGATCCTCGTTTTTTGATGAATTCTGATTGGCTCAACGGTGCCGATCTAAGGAGTTAACTTTCTGGCTGAAGTCAGCCAGCGTTGTGTGATCAGTGCAACAGAGATGGTAAATATGGTGAAAAGAAATGTGTGGTGCTGAAAAGATAAGAATTAAGAAGAAAAAGATCTCTGCACAAGAGGCAGCTGAATGCGCCAAATTTACCGCCTGCTTCCATGGTGAAAAAGTTATATAAATATATAAATAAGTATACAATTAGAAATGCATTTATTATATACTAAAATATTATATGTATATGTGTGTGTATATAGGCATAAATATTATAAACAACAGTTTGCAATGTTATCACTCAAAGACAACATCCTTCTATATGTGACATATTAGTGTGTATCGTGTGCGTGTATATTAGCTGTTAAGGTCAGTGGAGGTGATGGAGAGGGACAGAGGGATGATGACCCCAGTCATATTGATGAGGAGGGAGAGAAGGAAGAGGAGGAACAGGAGGAAGAAGAGAAGGACAATGGAACCATAAAAACAGTGACAGGTACAAAGGCAGTACGCAGGGCTGAGTAGGCAAATGCTGATGTTCTTCTCATGCATATGTAGCTGTACAATCAGCAGAGGCAGAGTCCTGCACAGTGGAAGCTCAGCCAGGGAGAGGCCTACTCAGAGCTGTAGATGAGAGATTAGAGTTTTATGCAAACACACAAACAGCTCTAATTAATGGAACTGTATTGTAGTATTTGATTGTATTTAACTATTTTAGCACTTTTGACGGGCTGTACACATGACATGTTGGTAGCAGTATACTGTAACTTAAGTTTTATTCTGTGCAGTGGTGCCTTGCTTATACAAACTGAAGAGGGAGGCGGCATCCTAGAGTTTTTTAAGGTCTTCAGCATAATCTTATTCATTTTATACAGTAAAACACTATTAGTATTAAAATAACTACAAACTGGAATAAAAGTCTTCTCCATCTCAAATGGCGTTTTTTCAGTACCAGCTCAACTTGCCTCGACTCGTCTCTACTCGACTCGGTTTGGCCCTGCTCTGTTTTCCATTGCAGATAGTACCCAGAAAATGGAGCTGGTCGTCATGGCGACGCCACACACAACTACCACAATGTAATTTTCAGTGCGACACACACACACGGTTTGTTTTTTTAGATTTTATCATAATTGTTTTGAATGTTCTACCTCGGATTTGTTAAATGATCCACTGTTTGGCAAGTGTTTGTCATGTTCATACCATAAAGAATGTGAAAGGATATGGGATAAAGATGGTTAAGTTTTCATGGTAATGTGGATCTTTCAGATCAATTTGAGGAGTGCCTAGGATCATGTTCCACATTTTATTGAATCCGTCTTGGTCTTGACTTGATCTCAGCCCCTCAAAGTCTCGATTTTGATACACCCTGGTATGATCTGGCATGGTCTTGGTTTGGGTGGTCTTGACTACAACACTAGCCTGATGTTCAGTTAATTATTTTTTAGAGGTAAATGTCCTTGAAGCAGCTAGAGAAGGTTAACTTGAAAACCTCATTTAACGTTGTGAATAAGATTATATAAATTCTACATCTTTCAGGTTCTTAGACCCAGCAGTTGATCTTCAGTTAAATTCATCTCCAGTGTTTCCAGCAGAGTGACATCATGGCAGCAGCAGCATCAGGTGAGACCAGTCAGAATCGGTTAGTCTTGATCACAATCTTCTCTCTTTATCCACATATTAAATCAGGTTACAATCTTGGTTTTAATCTGGTCTTTTATCAGTTTATTATGAAAATGTGTAAGAAAGATCCAGGTTTTTCGGAAGCTCGTGAACACATAAAGGAGATTTTCAAATGTCACACTGAATGAAAATAACCAAAGTGAATAGAAGATAATTCTGCTAGGCAGACCCAGCAGCTATGTTCAGTCCAGCAAGCTGCAGTGAGTCCATATCTCAGTTCAAAACAGAGTTACAAAGTGCTTTTTTATGGGAAAATCAAGAGAAAACAATTCAATTCTATGAACTAATTAAAAGCAGTACACTAAAAGTACACTTAAGGAAATAGAATAACATGCCCAACAATAAAAAGAAAATTAAACAATTAAAGAAAATATGTTAAAACTGCAATGTAAAAGTAATCTCTATGTGTAGTAATGTAAATATGGTTCTGTGAACACTGTGCAGCAATCACTTATTTGTCATTTATATAAAAGGTTATATTTCATTAATATGTCATGTTAAATTTAGCTTTTTATTATAACATTTTTTGTTTCCAACTGGCAATTGGATTGGCTATCGACGATTGAAGTGATGATCAACGATGGGTTTTTCATGCTCCGATAGTAAGGACTAAGATGACTGGAATCTGCACCCAGTGTTTCCCATTGATTTTTATTTGTGACGAGACGACACGCCACAATATCAACGCTGACCGGCACATACTGTTTAATATGAGTTAAATCACACCTTTTGTGGAGCTGCGTGCAGCGCATTGATTCACTCAGCACCTCCGCTTGGTCTCTCGGTCCCTCCGTCTCTCTCTCTCTCTCACACAAACACATTGAACGGAGCCGCATGTTTATAGAAACCTCTGAGAAGTTAGTTGGAGTCCCACCTTCAAATAAGTTAGAAGCAAGCATGTCAGGAGCCTATAGCTTATAAGGATAGCTATGTTAACTTTGGACATGGCTGCTAGGCGCCACACCTACACGGTTATTCTGTGGGAAACACTGTACCTTGCATTTACAGATGTCATGGCATGATGCAACGTAACACTGCCCCCTGGCGATCAAACCAGAATATGATATGAAAATAGAGTACATCGCCCATGCCCAGTTCTCTGTCTGCAATATTGTGATTTATTTGCTATCATAAAAATAGATCTACCCATCTACCAAGACACCACTGTCCAGGATACACAACTGGTAGTTATGCCATTATTGTGCCTTGACAGTGTACATCATCACTCCATTTAGAGCCTGCAGATGGAGCAGATCAAATGGCTGTAACAACCGGGTAAAGGAAATGACTTTAAGCTGTTCGTGGTCATGGATACTGATAAGAATGGATTAAACCCTCTGGGGCCTAAGCTATTCTTTGCCCATTTTCACTACTTTCACTACAATTTATATTGACCACCATGTGTTTTCTATCTATGGATTCAGAAGAACCTAAGCTAAAATAGTATGCATGTAATGTGCTTATAAAGGATGTATGAGTGAAAATGTTCACAAAATACACTAATACAATAATACACTAAAGAATATCTCAAAAAAACTTTTGAGATAATTGAAAATCACACCTCACACAACCAAATTGTAAAGTAAAAAAATATTTATGAAGCCCTTTGTTTTACATCAACATGCAGGTTTTCAATAAAATGTGCCAATGAAAACAAAATAAAGTATCCTTTTGTGCAAACGGTCCAAGACATTTTTCTCATGTGTAAAGCAAGGCCTCTCTAAAGCAACCTCCACACTACTTTAAATTACATTAACATTTATTCATTTAGCTGACGCTTTTATCCAAAGCGACTTACAGTTGCTATGCATGTCAGAGGTCGCACGCCTGCTGGAGCTACTAGGGGTTAAGTGTCTTGCTCAGGGACACATTGGTGAATGGGTCACAGTGGGGGATTGAACCCGTTTTTTCAACGAAAACAAAGACCTAAAAAGTAGTTTTAAGTTTGAAAACGCTGCTGGCCCCGTTTTGTGTTTCAAAACTCCGGAGACCGTAGTGAAGACGGACCAAAGTGGAGGACTTTAGAAACAATGATGCAGCCGCTCACGCTCGGCTCTCTGGTTGGGTCTTGCAAAGCAGAAACACGATGCTGCTGACTGGGTCTACATCATATTTTTAATAAATATTCTGATGCTTAGTCTGTATTTATTTATTATTTCGCCAAATCTTCTGTAACTACGGAATAGACCATCTGCTTCATGTTTACACGCGCATGCCCAGTGCACCTGAACGGGCCCTAGCTGTGCATTTTTAGTCATTTTAATGTAGACTGAGATCAACTCCAAAAAACGCAGCAGAAACGCTGGTGTGGATGGAGATCGTATTCGTTTTAATTCTCCATTTGTAAACTAAAACGGAGTAGTGCGGATGGGGCCTCAGTCTCTCCCAGCTTTTTTCAGTGTCAAAATTCAAGGGACAAAAAACAACTCTTCTCTGAACTCACGCAACCACTGACTAAATTACATCTCTTTTGCACTGAGCTTACAGTAAAGGGGGAAGACACTCCCCTTCACTGTAAGACAATAGAACAAACATTCCATGTCTAAATCTCTCTGACTCACAAATCCAATACATACACATACATATCGAACAAACTATAAAACTATAATGATCATGTTTGTATTACATTATTCCATTATAAGAGCTTATTTGAAGTTACATACCAGTCCTCAAATGGATCTTGCCCACGACATCGGTGAAAAATCTTTTGGCTCCAGGTTTGCTCTTTGTCGCTTTACAAAATGTTCCTCAATGCGTCTTTTCCTCTTTGCCATTATGAAAGCACTAAAAGAATACAGAAATAATAATAACATTTATACATTTACTCTGCACTATTCGTTAATCGTTACTTCTTTCCCTAGGTATTTACCCCATTTATACTGTTAGCTCTTACTAGTATTTATTGGTGCTTTTACTAGTAAACTTTTACTCGTAAAAGTTTTTTATCCATGAGTATTTTTCATGTTCATATATGTACAATTGATTGAGTAATGCGATGTTTTCATAGCTATTTACGTTTAGAGTGGTAAAATTTCCTGAAGGCCTTGTTTGTGTATTTAACCTCGTATTTGTCAGTCAAGAGGCATCACAATGTTAGTTTCTGATTTGTTGATTGGCTGATGGTGAGAGCAGATCGTCACGCTCTCGTTATCCAGCCGCCTCAGAGATATAGTTGCTCAAAAGAGCCTTGCAGACAGAGGTCCAGTAGCTTTTGACTATACTGTTTTTCTTTAAAGGGAAATACATAGTTAATATGTAGCTTATATTAAATTCAAAAGAGACAAATACTGTTTCTTTTTATTTTCATTGTGATTTATTATCCCTGTTGTAGTATTATTTATGTTTTAAGTTAAATTCCAACAAGATATTTCTTTCATCATGTTTTCAAGTTCTCTACCTCAGGTTGAAAATAACTGTAGAAAGAATACACATACTGAAAACAGCTGATCATTTTGTGATCTGTTTCATCGAATAATCCCTGCAGGCACAAGTCCTGCAGCCTTTGACTCCATTTGTTATTTTTAAAAGGGAAATACTGGATGTATACAAAGCAGAGGTCACTATTATTTAACTCCAAAGGAAGAGATGGATTATTGTTTGTCATTTTATTATTTTGTACTGTATTATTTGGTTACTGTGTTATTAAAATCTAGTGTCTAGTGTACATGTGATTTTATACATTAGTAGTATTGTGAAATTAATTAATCCATAATTATCATGAAACCGTGATTATTTCACTACATTCGTACCAACAAAATCTATAATATCATTGCATCCCTAGTTAAATCAGGCTGGGCTGTCTGTAGAGGTGGTACAGACTACCCAAGTCGTGATAGCGGGCTCCACCACTTCCGGCTACTATGCTAAGTGGTTGGGGTTTTCAGCACTTATGCCGGAGATGATAGTGGGTAAAGACCAGTGTTCCTCCTGTATTCGGCACACCACCGCTACTGAATGAATAACCACCCTACTAAAATGTTACACAAACATTAATATCAATGCTCAAGTAATGATTTTAACTCGCACTCTGTGCAAGCGTGGTGACACTCAACGCTTGGCGAGCTCTCTATGTATCCTGAGAGTGTGGCCGAGCGAATGAGAGAGAGAGAGTGGCAGAACATGACTGTGAAAGTTAGCAGAGAAATATATTAGCAGTAACTTTCAGTCTGGTAGTAAACGTACAGCGTAGTTCACAGTATGTCTGTAGTTTCCCCAGCGGCTGGAAAAGTGAAGGCTGTTAGCGCTAGCTAACATCTCCCCTGTACAGCATGTTTTTTGGCTGTAATGTAACGTTAGCTAAATTAGTAACAAAGTAATATTAAGTAGCTCAACTTACCTACTTGTCAAGGGTTGAGAACATCAGGTACAAGCTTAGACTAAACTGGTGTACAGCTCTGTCCTGTACACATACTGTACATCCTGATTATTAACTTAACCTATATTTCAGTTTTCAGTCTGACACCTGGTTGTTAAAGAAATAAGGGACAATGGAGATGAGGTTAATGAGGTAAATTAGGGATGCAAACTCCTTTTAAGCTAATTACGAAATGTTTCTTTTGGATTTTGATTTAAATGCTTAGTACTTATCCAGAGATCCTGTATAGAAAAAAATGATGAATCAAGATGCATCGATAATCGTTTTATAATCACATCGCACATTAATGTAGGTTTGATTTATTCCTGCAGATTTGATCTTACTACAGAATGCCTATTAGAGACAACATGTGAATAAATTGTCTGTCTTTTTTACAATCACAGGTGTGCCCCCCCTGAAGCGCAGACGCAGCTTTGAATTCCTACCCCCTTACAGTGAGTCCAACTGATCTCAGAATTATACATTTAATAGTCAACCACAATAAAAGTTTACTTGAATTAACCAGAAAAGAACACAAAACTTTCTCACTTAAATAAAAAGGACCAACAATAAATACAAAAGATTGTGGACACTTTGACGCTTCTGTCAACAGGCTGTAGCCAATTGATACTGATTTATATTTGCAAGTGGAGCAAAATACACAATTAAGGAAAGCTTTTACACTTGGTTTCACACCAGTAAGCCTCCTAAAATACCAACCTTGTCTAGAAATAAAATCTTTATACTTCTACAGCAAATACATTTTAAAAGAAATGTAATGCCGTTTTTTGAGCAACGTAATGACAATTCTTTTAAATGTATGTTTCTCATATAATCTACACATAGTTGTCTTTTATCTATGTACTATTTACTTACTCAATTATATATTTATTTTATTCCAGTGAGGGTTGTTCTGCTGGGGAACAGCTGGCCTGAAAGGAGATCAGTGAGGAACTTCATACTGGGAGAGACTAAGTTCAACACTGAGGAAGAAGCAGACTGCTGTCTGAGAGTCAGTGGACAGTTGGAGGGGAAAGAAATAGTTCTGATCAACACCCCAGATCTGTTGCATCCCAACATCTCTCAACACAAACTAACAGAACATGTGACAAACTGTGTGAGTCTCTCTGATCCTGGACCTCATGTGTTTCTGCTGGTTCTACAGCCTGAATACTTCACTGAGGAACACAAACTGAAGCTCTGCAGAGTCTGCAGAGTCCTGAAACTCTTCAGTGATCGATCATTTGATCATTCACTGGTTCTGATATCAACACCCACAATTTATGTCAAAAAACCCTATACACAGCATCCACCATTAAAAGACATGATCAGAATGTGTAAGTACAGATACTTGGAGCAGACGAACCTTGAACTTCCACAGCTGTTAACACGTTTGGGTCAAATCGTGAAGGAGAACGATGGAGAGCATCTGACCTGTGATGTGTTTGAAGATGCAGTTTTACCTAGTGATAAACAAAGCTCAAAAGAAAAGGAAACACAATACAGTAAGTGCATAAAAATTCTGACAAAGACATGAAAACTTTGTTTAAAAAAATCATTATACATAAAAACACGAGGCGGAAAGTTACTGATGTCGTCTCTTTACAGATCTTTGTGCTGTCGATGAAGACACTGTCTCAAAGAAACCTGCTCTCTCTCAAAGTAAGTGAATTATCACAAATACAATCATGTATTTGCAACCTAGATATAAAATTATTATTACTGACAGTCCTAAATTACATCTGTAGTAAGAATGGCCTAGTCAATGTGTAAACATGATGTTACATTAAAGGTATAGTTCAGGTTTTTTGAAGTGGGGGTGTATGAGGTATAGCCCTCCCTTTCGCACTATATTTTTCTCATCTGCAGAGCGTTTCTTTCCTATGAATGAGGTACACTGTATTATCCGCAGATCAGCTGTTTGGGTCAACATTTCAGCAGTTTATGGAAGAGACAACAAATATCATAAAATAATAAAAGTGAACAATTATGAAATGCCATTCACTTTAAATACAAGAGGATATGAACCAGAGAGAAGAGAAGAAGAATTTTTTTGTGTGCGTTTAGCACTATCTTACCTGATGGTTAGGTACAGCAGGGCTTTTCAGCAAGTGTCAAAACTGATCACCACAAACATCTCAATATTGCGCATGTAGGGCTGTCGCGATAACTGCTATATTGAAATACCATGCTACTGGCAAGCCAACCGCAGGGGATGGCAAGCAACCCCAAAAACTGCTGTTCATACCTTATTGTTTTACCCTTGAGTGCATGTTAATTGAATAGATCACTGCTTAAAAAATTTGAAAATAAAGACCTTAAAGCTGCAGTTAGTGACTTGCTTGGCAGTGAGGTCAGATTCACAGATACACTTACTATGCATTACTGCAACAAATTACTTTTAATTTATCATAAATGAAGTAATGTACAAAAAAACAAAAGTGTCAATTATACCGCAAACTGCTCTGTAGAGCCAAAATAAATGATCTTAAGGGAAATCACTTTACGGCGACAGCCCTATGCGCATGGAGTTGCCTATATTGGAACTAGAATTCAGCAGCCAATGAGAACGGCAGTGAGGCCCATAGCTTAGAAGGCTGCGCATATACTCATTGAATCTGGAGTTTTAGTACGCTTCACCCTCTAAGGCTATTGCTAGTGAGTTAGAGGCAAAGCAGGATGATTCAAATCCTCACTGGGTCCATACAGTACCACCAAGCACAGACACATCCGCCCAGAGCATAATAAAACTGTCCTTTTCCGGCATTATACAGTGCGAAACGGTACATCACACACAGAATATCACAAATTCTCCATGCCTACGGGGCTGGGGATGGAGAAGGTAGCCCTGGAGCTGTATAAACGCACTGTAAAAGTACAGCTGCAGACGGAGCAGGGCTAACACAAGCAGCAGGTCTCCCCTTGCTATCCAGCGAGGGGGATGCACACCGCACGTGCACAGACGACGATAACTCGGACAGAACACTCAGTACAGTACAGAGTGAGTCGTAAGAAAAGGGAGACATCTGTCCAGATAAAAGTGGACGAAGAGCACAGGGAAGACCAAGGGGCCACCGTGCATATGTCGTCCACTTTCGTCCACTGTCATCCCGCCATGCAGCGCCACAGAGGAAGAGACACCTCTCGTGAAGTGTGCTCTCATGCTGCCCGGAAGAACGACCGCCTTTACATGCACATAAAAGTTAATGACATCGCATTCTTAATCCATAGGGTTTAATATGGAGTTGGCCCAATCTTTGCAGCTGTAACAGCTTCAACTCTTCTAGGACGGCTGTCCACAAGGTTTAGGAGTGTGTTAATGGGAATTTTTGACCATTCTTCTAGAAGTGCATTTGTGAGCTCAAGCACAGATGTTAGGAGCATCAAATTGTCTAAAATGTCTTGCTGAAGCATGAACAGTTCCTCTCACTGGAACTAAGGGGCCAAGCCCAACCCCTGAAAAACAACCCCACACCATAGTCCCCCCTGCACCAATCTTCACACTGACCGTGGAATATTTAGTAGTGAGGAAATTTCATGAATGGACTTATTATTGCACAGGTGGCAACCTATCACGGTACCACACTTGAATTCACTGAGCTCCCAAGCGTGACCCATTCTTTCAGAAATGGTTAAAGAAGCATGCCTAGTGCTTGATTTTATACAGTGGCCATGAAAGTGATTGGAACACCTCAGTTCAATGATTCGGAGGGATGTCCTTTTCAGACCCAGCTAACTGATGGAATTATCATCATTGTAAAAATCCAAGATAACATCTAATAGCAGTAAAGTATTACAGAACAGATCGTCAGTAGTTTTAAATAATATCCTACACATGTATTACCATTTAGTTTTCGGCTTTGTTTTTGATTGTAAAATTGCTGCAGTGAACACACTGTGCTGTCAGGTGCATAGAGTGCACTGAGACACCGCGGTGATGTACAACACAAACAGATCTACCTTATCACCTCAACTCACCTGGCACATCTTCACCACCTGCGTAATTTGTGTAAACTGTAAATTAACAATGTCTGGAAATAAGGCCAGTGACAGCTCTTGTACAATCACTACACTCCATCCTCATCATGAGTCCTCATCATAATAAAGGTCAAGCATGAATGCAGGCTCATGGGTAATGCTGCATGGCTGCGCTATGGCACTACAGAAGATCACGCCAATGGAAGGATTAGAGAGTGTCCATGCAAGACCACGTTTTCCTTGCCCATGATGACGACTGGCTAATTAGGGCTGGAGCACAAAATGTGAGGTGCCTTTTGGAACTGAAGGAATTTTTTCTTTCTTTCCTTTTTCTGCAAAGTAAACTCAATTTTCAAGGCCTAAAAATGCTTGAAAACTCACCAAACTTTTCACATAATTCAGACGTAGCAAACAATTTCATATTTTATGGGTTTTGCACGTGGGCATGGCAAAATGGCTACCGACCCCTACAGAGCAGCCCTCGGACAAAGTTTCACCTACGTGTGCAAAATTCCTGTGTTACGTGTATCATGTCCAGACGTACAAAAAAGCCTCTTGGATCCATTGCCTCAACCCAACAGGAAGTCAGCCATTTTGGATTTAATGGTAATTTTTGGCGATTTACACATTTTGTACATTGACAAACTCCTTCTAGGGAATTAGAAATTTTCGCTTTGCAGTCTAAACCCATTGATGATTAAAAGTTGTACAAACAGTTATTACCATTCGACCAGCTTGCCCATTGCGTGTTGTCAAAAATCGATGATTCACCTTGAAACAGGAAGTTGTTATAACTTCAGTATACATGCTCACATCTGCACCAAATTTTAAATAATAGTCCCACCCTAAACACATCTGCATGCCAATGTTCACTCAAAGTCCTAGCGGCACCTTCTGACAACAGGAAATGACACATTTTACGCTGTAATGTTCTACTCCGAGCAGGTTGGACATATGAACTTCAAAACTGTCCCAGAAAACCCTTAACACATTCATGAGGCCATGTTGTAAAACTTGTGAGTTTGCAGTTAACAGCGTGGCAGTGGTGTGGCCGCTAAATTAAACTCTTCGCCATGAAACAAGAAGTTGTTGTAAATTGACTGTACATGCTCAGATCTGTACCAAACTTTACTTTTCATAAGAGTCCTGCCCTGAACACGTCTACCAACCAATATTCACTCATAGTTGTAGCGCCACCTGCTGGCAACAGGAATTGACCTTCAGCGAAGCAACGCCTGCCTTACGTTTCACCTTATACAGTATACAAAACTTCTGTGATACATATCATGTCCAGACGTATTTTTTGGATGATTTACACACTCCATACTTTAACGAACTCCTAGAAATCAAAAGGTTGATTTATTTCAGTTATTCCATTCAAAAAGTGAAACTTTACACTGGACGTCAAGCAACGTGGATTCTGTGCCTCTCCACTCTTCTTGCAGACTCTGGGACCTTTATTTCCAAAGGAAATGCAACATTTACTTTCATCAGAGAACATAACTTTGGACCACTCAGCGGCAGTCCAGTCCTTTTTGTCTTTAGTCCAGTCAAGACACTTCTGACGCTGTGTCTTGTTCAAGAGTGGCTTGACACAAGGAATGCGACAGCTGAAACTCATGTCTTGCATACGTCTGTGCTTGGTGGTTCTTGAAGCACTGACTCCAGCTGCAGTCCACTCTTTGTGAATCTCCCACACATTTTTAAATGGGTTTTGTTTCACAATCCTCTCCAGGGTGCGGTTGTTCCTATTGCTTGTACACTTTTTTCTACCACATCTTTTCCTTCCCTTCGCCTCTCTATTAATGTGCTTGGACACAGAGCTCTGTGAACAGCCAGCCTCTTTAGCAATGACCTTTTGTGTCTTGCCCTCCTTGTGCAAGGTGTCAATGGTCGTCTTTTGGACAGCTGTCAAGTCAGCAGTCTTCCCCATGATTGTGTAGCCTACAGAACTAGACTGAGAGACCATTTAAAGGCCTTTGCAGGTGTTTTGACTTAATTAGCTGATTAGAGTGCGGCACCAGTGTCTTCAATATTGAACCTTTTCACAATATTCTAATTTTCTGAGACACTGATTTTGGGGTTTTCATTAGTTGTCAGTTATAATCATCAAAATTAAAAGGAATGAACACTTGAAATATTTCAGTCTGAGTGGAAGTTTCACTTTTTGAATGGAATTACTGAAATAAATCTAATTATATGACCAGCACCTGTATATTCCTGGCAAGCCCTCTAGTGCTTGCATTAGTGTTACGACCTGGCTCGTGAGGGCAAGGAAGGTAACATAAACCAGATTGATTTGAAATGTTATTTTTCGGGTTAAAGTGACAAGCAGTAAACTGTAACAGAAAAAGGGCCGATTGGATGCTGCTTAAATGAACGAAAACAATATAACAGAGAAGAAATCTCTACTGAGAGAGATAGCTAGCTTAACCTACGCAAGGTAACAAATCAACAAACAAATTCAAAACCAAAACACAAGGAGAGCAGCACCCTTGCACCTATTGAAACTAACACAAAACAACTACACAGATGTAGCGAAATCAGTTTGGAGCTAAACCTGGGCCTTATTTCATAAACAGGTTTACATCAATTATCTCACTAATAATAACACACTCGTGTTACAGTGTGGCAAACCGATCAATGGAAATCACAGCTGCCCTGGGCGACAAGCACACACACTA